TGTGTGTGTGTGTGTGTGTGTGTGTGTGTGTGTGTGTGTGTGTGTGTTGGGGGGGAGGGTATCTATTGCCTAGAGGTAACTGACACCCTGAATTATTATTTCCATTTATCATTTCCATTCTCTTTTAAAACATTTTATTACATATGTGTATGGTCATAAATAATATGTAGAATTTGTTTTTATGTCCTAAAAGTGTATATAAATTGTTGTACACTCTACATATTTTGCAACTTTCTTTTGTCTGATCACATTACATTATTGAGGTCAGTCCTTATTGACACAGGAAGCTCTGGTTTTCTATCAAATTACCGGATCTCAGTTAAACCTTCTTTGTAATGATAAATAAATAAAATGATTGCATTTTAAAAATGATTGCAGATTCTAAAGAGCTTTTAAGTTGGTTGTATCTATTGATATTTAATATTTTAGAAATAAAAACTAAAATATTTTAAAAAAGGATGCACAACCATACATTCCAATAGACATTAGAACTATGACCCATTCACCATTAGAGCTATGCAGTTAGGACACATCATGTCTATGAAAAGCTCCACTGTACACTTGAAAGAGAATGAGAGTGAAAATGGCAAATAACATTTTGTACTATTTGACCCCCTGCCTGGATCTTGAACTCCAGGGATTCTCAGATCACAATTTAGAGCCAACATTTTAAACCACATACATATGTGGTTTGAATATGATTGTGGATAAATGGGCACTTGATGATGAAATGGCCTTTAAAGTTTCACTTCTGTGTTTTTTTGCTTTTTTGCTTTCACTTGTCTTAAAAAATTTAAATCCCAACAATTTTGTTTATATAGAAAAAAACATATGAAAAAAAGCTCATCATCACTGGTCATTAGAGAAATGCAAATCAAAACCACATTAAGATACCATCTCACGCCAGTTAGAATGGCAATCATTAAGAAATCAGGAGACAACAGATGTTGGAGAGGATGTGGAGAAATAAGAACACTTTTACACTGTTGGTGGGACTGTAAATTAGTTCAACCATTTCGGAAGACAGTGTAGTGATTCTTCAAGGATCTAGACCTAGGAATACCATTTGACCCAGTAATCAATCCCATAACTGGTATATACCCAAAGGATTATAAAACATTCAATTATAAAGACACATGCACATGTATGTTTATTGCAGCACAGTTCACAATAGCAAAGACTTGGAACCAACCCAAATGCCCATTAATGATAGATTGGATAAAGAAAATGTGGCACATATATGCCATGGCATACTATGCATCCATAAAAAAGGATGAGTATGTGTCCTTTGCAGGGATGTGGATGAAGCTGGAAACCGTCATCCTCAGCAAACTGACACAAGAACAGAAAACCAAACACCGCATGTTCTCACTCGTAAGTGGGTGTTGAACAGTGAGAGGGCATGGACACAGGGAGGGGAACATCACACACCAGGGCCTGTTGGGAGGTGGGGGGGGCAGTGGGAAAGGATAGCAGGGGGTGGGAGGATAGGGGAGGAATAACATTAGGAGAAATACCTAATGTAGATGACAGGGGGATGGATGCAGCAAACCACCATGGCACATGTATACCTGTGTAGCAGTAACAAACCTGCACGATCTGCACGTGTACCCCAGAACTTAAAGTATAATAATTAAAAAAAAAAAGTTGTTGTTTTCATACAAAAAAAAAAGAAAAAGGAAAATATTTTTGTTATATATTCCTTTCCTGTCTCATGGTACTGCGTGCTCTTTGGATCTGATGTGGTCCTAGACTAATCCTGTTTTTATATGGGAACAATTAGGTCCCTTAAGGCTGTCATTTTGCGTATAAATGTGTGAAGTTTATGCAAGTATTTGAAAGTAAATTCTGAAGATAGTGGTAGATTCAGGAAAGACTATCTCATTATAATTAAAATAGTTTTTAAAGTATATTTATTATGACTTTTTGTAAATCTTATAAGTCTGTTTTTTATTAATAGAACAAGAAAAGATGAACATTGGAGTTGTACTTCTGTCAGGGAATAATACTGTCCATGACATGTGCCAGTCACAGCTGCCAGAAAACAAAGAGAGCAAAGAAGGTAACAAAGAATCTAGAATACATACACACGATGCCGTCATGTATATTTAAGTTTAAAATGGTTAGACATAAATTCTATTTATAAAAAATTTATATCCTTGAAGAATCTTAATGGAAAGCAAAATATGTAATAGAGACTGCTGGGTGAATCAAAGTAAGTAATAGTAAACGTAAAAATGTAGAAAAGTGGGGCCGGCGCGTGCCGGTCGCGCGGCTGCTGTTCCTCCTGCTGTGGGACCGCTGAGCGCGCGCAGCTGCTTCGCTCTCCCAGCTCCAAGTACGGGTCTGGGCACCCGCCACCAGCATGGGTGCTCGCCGCGTGCCGCAGAAAGATCTCAGAGTAAAGAACTTAAAGAAATTCAGATATGTGAAGTTGATTTCCATTGAAACCTCATCATCCTCTGATGACAGTTGTGACAGCTTTGCTTCTGATAATTTTGCAAACACTAGACTGCAGTCAGTTCGGGAAGGCTGTAGGACCCGCAGCCAGTGCAGGCACTCTGGACCTCTCAGGGTGGCGATGAAGTTTCCAGCTCGAAGTACCAGAGGAGCAACCAACAAAAAAGCAGAGCTCCCACAGTTCTCCGAGAATTCTGTGACTGATTCCAACTCCGATTCAGAAGATGAAAGTGGGATGAATTTTTTTGGAGAAAAGGGCTTTAAATATAAAGCAAAACAAAGCAATGCTTGCAAAACTCATGTCTGAATTAGAAAGCCTCCCTGGCTCGTTCCCTGGAAGACATTCCCTCCCAGGCCCCAACTCACAATCGAGGAGACCTCGAAGGCATACATTCCCGGGTGTTGCGTCCAGGAGAAATCCTGAACGGAGAGCTCGTCCTCTTACCAGGTCAAGGTCCCGGATCCTCGGGTCCGTTGACACGCTACCCATGGAGGAGGAGGAAGAGGATAAGTACATGTTGGTGAGAAAGAGGAAGACCGTGGACAGCTACATGAATGAAGATGACATGCCCAGAAGTCGTTGCTCCAGGTCATCCCTGACCCTTCCGCATATAATTCGCCCAGTGGAAGAAATTACAGAGGAAGATTTGGAGAACATGTGCAGCAACTCTCCAGAGAAGATATATAATGTTCACTGGGCTCTACTTGTCATCAATGCCGTCAGAAGACTATTGATACCAAAACAAACTGCAGAAACCCAGACTGCTGTGGCGTTTGAGGACGGTTCTGTGGCCCCTGCATTCGAAACCGTTATGGTGAAGAGGTCAGGGATGCTCTGCTGGATCCGAACTGGCATTGCCCGCCTCGTCGAGGAATCTGCAACTGCAGTTTCTGCCGGCAGCGAGATGGACGGTGTGCAACTGGGGTCCTTGTGTATTTAGCCAGATATCATGGCTTTGGGAATGTGCATGCCTAATTGAAAAGTCTGAAACAGGAATTTGAAATGCAAGCATAATATCTGGAAAATTCACGGCCTGCCTTCTTCTCAAATCTTTCTTGTTAAAGTTTCCAATTTTTTCACTGAAACCTGAGTCAAGGATCTTGATGATCAGCCTGTTTTTTAAGAAACTCCAATCAAGGTAATCTCAGTAGACGTGTTTCTGGAGCATCATGGAAGGTATATTACTAGTTACACTTTGCCTTCCTGCAGTTTATTCTCTGCTCCCAACCTCCACCTCATAGCATCCCCCTCTATTTCCAGGGGTCCTCTCTAGCCGCTTAGTTCTGTAATTTCTTTTAAAGTATAGGTTTATGAAAGCGTATTTTATTTACTTGGTGTTGAAATAGCCCTCATAAAAGCTAAGCACTTAGAAACACAGTAATAGTATTAACTAGAGAATTTCAGAGAACAGCCTTCTAACTTGTTTACATAAAAACAAGTATGATTTAGCATTCATACTAGTTGAAATTTTTAATAGAATCAAGGCACAGAAGTCTTAAAACCATGTGGAGAAATTAGGTGATTACTGCAGATTGGAGTATATTACTTCAGATGCCTCTCAAACCCATGTATTGTGTTTATGTTACAAGTTGTTGTCACAGTTGAGACTTAATTTCTGCTAATTTCTTGTGCCCGAAGGGTAAGTGGTGCGTCTAGCTTACACAATCATGATTCAAAGGTTGGTGGGCAAGTAATACTTAAAATTGTGATAGGAAAGCTATCTGGAAATTACAAGTAGGCCGATTTGAATTTTCGGTATAAAACTTTAGTATGATTTTAGTTTGCCAGGTTTATTTCAGTTTACATGTAAGGTACTGCAAATAAATTCTTGGACAATTTTGCTTGGAAACTTGATATTAAAAACTAGCCTGTGGTTCTTTACAGTTTCTTGAAAATTTATAAACCTAGGCGCAGGGTTCAAGTTTAGATTTTAAGCACTTTTGTAAGAATGAGAAGTGCCTTTTTGGAGATGTAACTTTCAGCAGTTTGTTAACCTGACATCTCTGCCAGTCTCGTTTCTGGACAGGTTTCCTGTGTCGATATTCCCCTGCCTCTTTGCATTAATCAAGTGATTTGGTAGAGGAGGAATCTTAAGTGTTTGTGTGTCCAATTTACTTGCATGAGTAAACCATCGCTGACCCATTCAGTGTTTGATACATGATTGGACCTTGAATCGATAAGTGTAAATACAGCTGTTGATCTGTAATGCTTTTATACAGAAGTGTTTATTTTGATGATAAAATGTTTGTCCTAACTTGTCTGCTTAAAAAAAAATGTAGAAAAGTGAGAGATGATAGTTAATTAAACTTATCTCAATGAATTGCAAGCATAGAACATATCAAATATAATAAGCCCTGAATGCATAGTGTGTTTATGGGAGACAGCAGGATGTGGGACTGTTACTATGGCTCACGCCTATAATCCCAGCACTTTGGGAGACTGAGGCAGGTGGATTACGAGGTCAGGAGTTCAAGACCAGCCTGACCAACATGGTGAAAGCCCGTCTATACTAAAAACACAAATATTACCCAGGTGTAGTGGCATGCCTTAATCCCAGTGTATTAATGCACTGTAATCCCAGCTACTCAGGAGGCTGAGGCAGGAGAAGCGCTTTAACCCAGGAGGCGGAGGTTGCAGTGAGCCGAAATCATGCCACTGCACTCCAGCCTGGGCAGCAGAGTGAGACTCTGTCTCAAAAAAAAAAAAAAAAAAAGAGAGAAAGAAAACATGTATACAAGTTAGTTAAATTACTGTTTTATTTACATCCTAATAAATGAAAACTTTATTATTGGATTTTTCAGATTGGCATCCTACTAATATGACCGATAGTGATAAGACTTGTGAGAGATCCAAGAATCTGAAAGTTGATAAATGTCTACCTGTATCACCATCAATGTCTAAAAAACAGTCAGACACCAAAGAATTGGGACAGACGAACTTAATAGAACAAGAAAAGATGAACATTGGAGCTGTATTTCTCTCAGGGAATAATACTTTCCATGACGTGTGCCAATCACAGCTGCCAGAAAACAAAGAGAGCAAAGAAGGTAACAAAGAGGCGTGGAGAATTCAGTCCTAGAGTGTGCCTGTTTGGCTGCATAGTGCTATAGTTCTAACTTTAAAAAATTATTTTCTGGTAAAATGTGATTTGTTTACTCTCCTTTTGCACTGAACAGAATACCTTTTGGCAGGACGTTTGTATGCTTCCTTTAACTAAAGCAACATCTAGATAACAGAGAATTAGGGGAAAGCATGATTTTCTTTAGAAAGTAGGATTAAATTTAGAATGTAGAGACTAAGTATTTTAGGGACTAACATAGGATTATATTTAGGATAACTCAGTAGAGACCTAAAGATTGCTGACTCAAACACAGCGTGGTTTCTTTGCTTTATTTTTACAGCTCTGAATTCACAGCTGTTGGTTATAACTATATGCACTATAACCTTAAAAGGCACCTTCCAAAAGCAAATATTAAGTGACTTCCTATCCTTCTATGACTTTATGTATTATAGAATTGATTTTCAAAGTCAGTGATTAATGAGAATCATAGATAATTTGCTGCATAGTATCTCCTCGGCTGTGTCCACGTGAGCTACCACCTGTGTTAATTAATGTGTTCAGTAGGAATGTTGGTTTTGGCATTGAGAGTGTTCTATGGTCAATGCAAATAGGACTCTTGAGAACATTAAAGTCTTGAGAACATTAAATTACACATATGGCTTTCATAAGGTGACTTCTGCTCAGACTCCATCTTCAGCCCTTTCCCCTGTGTGCTCTTTCTCTGGCCTTACTGAACTGCTGGTCCTGTCCTGTTCACCCATCCCTCGATTGCGGGCAAATACATATACTCTTTCAGGCCTCTCTCTGCCTTTTGTTGCTGCCTGGCATGCTCTCACCCTTTCCTTCCCCCTACCCTTCTAATTTAGCTGGCCTCATTCTTTAAGTGTCAGCTTGGGCAGGATCTCTAGAAAAGTCATCTCTGACATGCTTTCTTTTCCCTCTTTAAATCCTCGTGCCTAGCACATAGCAAGACTCAACTAAAAAATTGCTGAGTAAAATAGATAATGACTCTTTGTACAAAGGTGATTTTCAAGATTGTTCCTATAGTCTAAGAGCAAAGGGAATAGATGTGTAAAGCAGTTATCGACAGTTCAGGTGGTAGAGATGCAGTAGAAAAATCAGTAAAGTCCTAGGGGAGCCCCAAGGAAGGAGATACGGAGATACCTGTTTACCTGGGGAAAGATAGCCAGGAGGAGGGTTAATTTCATTTAGCACTCTGGTTTTTTTTTTATTTTTTTATTTTTAGCAGTCTGTTTTTTTTTTTTTTTTTTTGGGGACGGAGTTTCGCTCTTGTTACCCAGGCTGGAGTGCAATGGCACGATCTTGGCTCACCGCAACCTCCGCCTTCTGGGTTCAGGCAATTCTCCTGCCTCAGCCTCCTGAGTAGCTGGGATTACAGGCATGCGCCACCATGCCCAGCTAATGTTTTGTATTTTTAGTAGAGACGGGGTTTCACCGTGTTGACCAGGATGGTCTCGATCTCTTGACCTCGTTATCCATCCGCCTCGGCCTCCCAAAGTGCTGGGATTACAGGCTTGAGCCACTGCGCCTGGCCCAGCAGTCTGTTTTAAAAGACAAACATATCAATACATTTGTCAGAATAATACAGGAAAACATTTCAGATGTTAGGAAGAGGGTATACACCGATAAAGGTGTCCACGGTCATTCTGGAAATCATTAATAGGGTACTACTATGAAGTAGAGAACAGTATACAGCATTGCCTAATAATATTGCTGGTGCATTCCAAAATGTCTTGTTTGTGATGGCTTTGTTCATTGACGTTGGGTGGATGAACCTGTTAGTGAATCTTCAACACGATTGTATTTCTTTAACCAGGTGGCATCTAGTGTCTCCCACAAAATGGTTTGTTGAAGTTTTGGAGAATTAGAAATATTTCTTAAAGAAGGAAGCATTCCACTAAAGATCAAGCTTCATTTAAACTCAATTTATGAAATAAAATGAAACGTAATTTAAAATCTATTTTTATAAATACTCTTTTATCTAACTTCTAAGTAGTTTAACTAAACATTTGGATTTCGCAGAAGAACAAGACTTGGAGCTGCCATCAGAGGAAGAGGAAGAAAGACTTAAAGGACGTGAAAATAAGCAGCCACAGGTGTGTAAACATTTAAATTAAATCCAAATTTCTGGTTTAATACTGTTTTCTTTGCTTTAATAATTTGATAGCCTAAATGAAATTACCTCTCAGTTTAGCCTTTGAGAATCAATAGATTCTTATTTAATATTTAATTTTAAATACATTTAAACTAGTTATAAAACACAATATTGTTAGAATCTATCATAACTTGTAGTTAATCTTTACCCTTGGAGTGGAGGCAGAACATTCCAGAATTTTGTTTACTCTTCAATTCTTACAATACCTTTACAGGATAAAGAAGTTAATTAAAACATATTTTTAAGCAACAGAAATTATGAACAATTTAACAGTGATGGCCACTTAGTTGGATTCATGGTAAAAGAGTAATTATGGCCAGTGGCTCAAATTTTGCAGTTTGATATTGCCAGTTACTAATGCCAAGGTTAAAGATGTATTCTGCTCTGTGACCTCTCATTGACTTCAGGGTCTATATTCAGTGAGAGCGGGGTTATGAAATCAACCCAACTGCCTGTTAAGGGAATCAAATCTGGCAAAATGGGATATGTGGTGTTGGGGTACAAACAGTAACTTTCTAACTTTTTAGATGCAGAAACTTAGTAAATACTATTTTTAAAGTTAGTATTATTAGGGGACTGGAGTATGTATTAGAAATGAACTGAAGCAGACAGTCTAAATATGTAACCCTATGATGTTACAGTAATAATTTGAATTAAAACTTAAGAATTTGCTTTTCTTTCTGATTGATATTGATTCAGGCTCCTAATAATTTAAAGACCGCCTAGACTCCCGTTAGTAGTCTAGAGAAAGAGTACTTAAATGTACTGTAGGGGCTCGCTTTTCAAGTGAGGAAGCCTTTGTAACACTAGAAATCACCTGCTAATTCATTTTTGGTAGATTCAACACATAATTAAGCTTATTCCAAACAAACATTGGTAAAGTTAAGTTTGCTAGTTCATATTTTCCTCCTCTTTTCAGCCAAGACAAACTGTTTTTTATTTCTTAGTCACAAGCCGGTGATTTGGGAGTAGCTAAACCTAGATTACGAAGTTTAACAGTTAAATTTTCATTTTAATTATTTGTGAATTTTTCTTTGTTCATACCTGTTACTTAAGGAAAAAGCTATTTTTAAAACATGCAGCCTAACAGACAAGACACCTGAGAAACAAAACAAGCAAATTAATCTTGTACTTTTGTATCTGCAGAAAATGTCCCAAGAACCAGAAATGGCTAAGGATTGTGATAGAGTGGATATACCTGTGTTTTCATTACTTCCTCATGTGCAAAATTCTGAGCAAATGTGGATCGAGCAAGGCAAATTAGAATGGAAAAACAAATTCAAACTCATTACAAATGAGTTAAAGCAGAGGCTTGGAGAAACCTTTGAAAAATACAAAATTCCGACTTGTCCTGAGGAAGAGCATCTACTTGATAACTCTACAAGAGGAACAAATGTAAAGGACATTCCCTCTAATTGGACAAATAATATACCTGGTTGTGAGGAAGAAGGTGCATCTGAAGTACCTGTTTCTGTGGTATTCAAGACACTTCCTGAACAAAAGGAACCCAGTCTCAAAAATGTCTTTCCATCTCATGCATACTCTGGGTCCCTGGAACATGCTTGCCAGTCATCATCTAAGTTTCATTTACATAAAAATCAATCAGACAGCGACAGTGATAACAAACCAGGCATTGAGCATATTTGTAGCACAGATGAGAACTTTTGTAATGATGCACACACTAAGAAAGCAAGGAACCCAGAAGTAGTTACAGTTGAAATGAAAGAAGACCAAGAGTCTGATTTGCAAATGACAAAAAATATGAACCAAAATAGTGACAGTTGCAGTACAAATAACTATAAAAGCCTGAAACCTGAATTAGAAAATCTGAGTTTTTTATTATCAGATTGTGACAGTACATCAGAAGTAGATCTACATGAAGAATTACAGCAAGACATGCAAAGGTTTAAGAATGAGGTAGATAAGACAGAAGAGCTCCTGGCTTTGAAGAAAGAAAACATTCCACTTCAGAAAGAGGTAGGGGTTTACTTGCAGCCACTCTGTTTTTTGCTCTATCGATTATCTGGTCCATTCTGATTTTCCACTTATGAAAACCTTATGAAAAGCATACAGCTTGGTTATCTAAATCTGTAATTGTGTATAGAAACAGATGATTTATAATAATAGGCGTTTAGGAAAACTTTCTCATAATCTTTGTTTCTTAATCAACCTAAGTATCTCTGTCAGTCTTCCAACTGGCATATGGATGGGGAAATATATAGCACGTGACCCTCAGAACCAGGAGAAGCATCAAGAAAATCGCTAAAGAAAATGTGATGAGCTCAAGGGCTTTTTCCTTTTACTGACTTAAAGATGAGTTGCACCTAACAATAAGATGGGAATACAGTGGAAAGGAAGCAATGACTAAGAAGAGATATAAAAATGGATATAAAAATGCCACTGGCCGGCCATGGTGGCATACACCTGTAGTCCTAGCTACTTGAGAGCCTGAGGCAGGAGGATCTATGCTATGCTGATCAGGTGTTCACACTAAGTTCAGCATCAATATGGTGACCTCTTGGGAGTGGGGCACCACCAGGTTGGCTAAGGAAGGGTGAACTGGCCCAGGTTGGAAAAGGAGCAGGTCATAAGTAACTCCCATGCTGATCAGTAGTGGGATCGTGCCTGTGAATAGCTACTGCATTCCAGCCAGGGCAAAATAGCAAGGCCTCATCTCTTATTTAAAAAAAAAAAAAAAAAAGGTATCCAGCCCTGAGAGCTGCAGCAAATATTCCTGGCCAGTGAATCTGTTTATTATGCTTTCATGTTTTCAGGTTTATCTGTTTAACTCAAGCTGTTGGAACTTAGAATTCCATCACGACCACTTTAAATTTTTTTGACAAGTATATACACTTTAACATATTTGTAAATATAACCACTCACCACCGTTTCTGTTGAATCAGACCTTTATGTTATGTTGCTTAATGAAGTATAGTAAGTTTTGGTATATATATATATATATATTTTTTTTTTTTTTTTTTTTCCATATAACTAGTGTAAATACTCAGCCAAAAACAGTGTATGATGCCAAAGTAGAAAGCTGAGTCTTCTGCGTTGATTAGGGCAGCCTTCCCACCCTCCACTAAGACATTAAATTATTTTGCCCAAGTCACACTTTTTTTTTTTTTGAGATGGAGTTTCACTCTTGTCACCTAGGCCGGAGTTCAGTGGCATGATCTCAGCTCACTGCAACCTCCGCCTCCTGGGTTCAAGTGATACTCCTACCTCAGCACCCCTACTAGCTGGGATTACAGGTGTGTGCCACCATGCCCAGCTAATTTTTGTATGTTTAGCTGAGACAGGGTTTCGCCTTGTTAGCCAGGCTTGTCTCAAACTCGTGGCCTCAAGTGATCCACCCACCTCAGCCTCCCAAAGTGCTGGGATTACAAGCGTGAGCCACCCCATATGCCCCCAAGTCACACTTTTAACCAATCTGATTAATTTGCTGAATTTGCCTGATTCAACATTGTGCGATTGTATTCTCTTTTGGTACCACAAAATGCTAGGTAATGGCACTTTAGGGGCTTTGGACCAATTATTTAATCTTTTTTGTCTTTGTTCCAGTTATCAATAGATAGTGGGCTAAAGTAGATTCTAATACTGTATATCCTCCAGCTACAAACTTTTATGGCTATTGAATGTGCAATTTGGGAAGCATCTCATTTTCATAATTCCACACTAGCAGCTTAGCAGTTTCACTCTGCTTTTTGTGTTGAGGCAGACTTGTATTTCAGTGAGCTTTGACATCCCAGGATTCAAATGAAAAAAAAAAAAAAAAAAAAAAAAAAAAAAAAAAAAAAAAAA